GTGGAACAGGGTGGGGCGACACCGCGGAGGATTTACCCACCGCCAGCGTGGCCGTGTATATATCCTGATCAGGTTGATCCGGTAATGTGATTACAGAGACCCCTGCCAGCTAACACGCCGCCCCCGAGCCAACGGTCGGGACGCACTTGTACATCATCGGGAAGGGGGCGCAATGCTTCCGCCAAAACAGGTGGTGTCGATGACCGGCATCTCCCTCCGGTTCAGACACTACGGAAATAGGGCGGGGACGCGCCATGGTAAATATACATACATTCAAATCATTGCGTCACATTCTGTACGTGGGAATAAAAAGCGGCAAGTGAACGGTAAGAGGTAGGTAAAAGTTGTGAGGCGAGTAAAAAGTAAGCGGTAAATAAAAGGTGAGTGGTAACAGCGGTCAGTTTGGACAAAGCTGTTTGGTGGAAAAGGGTTTGCGGTATAGTGGTCCGTGCCCGCTATTGTACAAAGTGCTTAATTTTGAATTCAAATGTTTATCCTCTTAAAATGCATTCCACATGCCGCACGCGCCGCAGATTCACTTTTGCCCCGTATGGGAGCAGGTCGGGTCGGGATACGACTAGTGGTGCGGTAAGAGAGAGAGACCCGCAAAAGTGCGACCGGCAAAACTGAGACCGGCAACAACACGCCCCCTCCACATAGCGACACTGCTCCATCATCGCGGGTGAGTTGGTGCAGCCGGCGCACTACTGGAACCACTGGAGCGGTCGCAGAGCAAAAGGGCCGAACACACACACACACACACACACACACACACACACACACACACACACACAGGATCGAGAGAGGTTGCGGCGGAGTGCGGGATCTGGTGCTCTGGATCGGTTCGCGCGAACAGCGAGAGAGAGACCGGGAGCGGGACGGGATACTCGCTCGGCGTCCCCGCCGCAGTCGGATCAGTCGAGTGGAATATCAACACGCAGCGCGGCGCCGGGCGGAACAACACGCCGAAACAGCGCCGCAGAGCTACAGAGACAGTACCACTGCAAAAAGAAAGAAAAGTCCTACAATTTTTGGTTTAAATAAATCGACGTGGAACTTAAAATTTACAGTTTAAAACTGTGTGCACGCTTCAGTTGATAAAAATATTGTTTTAAAAATGGCAAGTTTTAAATTGGGGCAAAATAAAGGGCAGTTTAAAACGGATAATTTTATATTCGATTAATTTTTAAAGTTTAAAACTGTTGTCAAATTCTGACAAAGTGACTGCCAAAAAAATGTCATTCCATTCCAGCAGCAATAAGGGGATGATGGCGCCCTGTCAATATTAGTTAATCGTGCAAAACACTCATCACAGAAAATGGTTATTCTTATTTTTAGACAGTCCCTTGTGGCTGTCTCTACCCGAAGGTAAAAGTTTCCAGTTTTGATAAAGATGGCCGATTAACCCGATTAACGTTCCAGTTATGATAAGCCGGTTGACGTTGATAATATAGATTTAGCCAGCTCAGCTCCAGCCCAGCGAAGCCCAGTCTGCCTATAGTATATATTCTGTGGGGAGGGCTGTGGCGCTGGGCGTTGGGCGTTGTCTACAACAAAGTGATGCCGCTATCTTAACAAACATGACAGGTTCAGTCG